AAAAATATGGAATTATCCATTTTGCGACAGCCAGCGATGTGAAGGCCTCCGTCATAGAGCGATTTAATTGTACCCTCAAATCAAGAATGTGGCGATATTTCACCGCTAATAACACACGGAGATATCTGGATGTGCTTCAAGATCTTGTAAAAAGTTATAATGACACCTTTCATTCCAGCATAAAAATGACCCCTATGGAGGTTTCCTTTGAAAATAAAGACCAAGTCCTGAGGAATCTTTACGGTCGGAAGGTGGGGAGAGAAAGAAAGAAGGCGGCAAAGAGGAAATTTAAGAAGGGCGACCCGGTTAGAATTTCAAAGTTAAGAGGGGTGTTTGATAAGAAATACGAACAAAGCTTTACGGATGAAATCTTCACCATATCCGAATGCGCCGATCGTTCTCCTCCTGTGTATAAATTAACGGACTATGATGGAGAGCAGATCGAGGGGTCTTTTAAACGAGTTAAACCCAAACAACAAAACACAAAAACACAAAACCCAGAAAAATTCTTCATAATGTAACTTTTCAAATGACATCTACAAACTACAAAATGTAAAAACAAAACTTTTAAAATGTAAAAACAAAACGTTTCCAATCACATCTATAAACTACAAATTGTAAAAACTTGAAATGTAAAAAAAACAAAATAGGAATGAAAAAGAAAAAACGTTAATTTTTTTTTTTTTAATCTTTTTTCCTTCTTTTTTTTTTCAATCACTTCCGAGTGATACAGAAGATAAAAAAGCAACTAAATAGCACATCATTCCTTCAGTGCGACCAAAGATGTTTGAAATAGTACAGAGTTGTTTGATTTTGTAAATTTCTCTGTTGTTCCGATACACTTCTTCAACAGCGGCACACAGTCCGAACGAAGATCTGAGTTCGTACAAAAGAGTCTCCACAATTATCTTCACCCTGAAATCCTCCGCTTCTTGTCCGCGTTCTTTCATCAGATGTTGAATGGCTGGAATGAGTTGCGGTGTTTTGAGTCGACGTTGAAGCGTGATAAAGTTAGTCTGATAGAATTCTTCTTTCAATGCTTCGAGACATTGATGCTGTAGTTGACTTGGGTGGTCTGTTTGACATCCGTAACAAGTCTCTCGATTATATTCCAAAGCGACGTTGTTAAGCAAATGAAGCACGGCTGTTTTTACTATAGCAATGTGTGAGGAAAAGATCCAATCCTCATCCACCATCCCGTTTATAATCGGTGGAGTCTGCGCCAGATGCACGATGAGGCTGGTTTGTTCGTCTTCGGAAGAATCAGGTGAGGCTCCCGCCGCCCTGTCTTCATCAGACTCGGAAAGAGTGGGAAGCAATTTCTTTTCCTCCTTCAGGTTATTTACTTCATTAGTCTCGCTTGGAAAAGGCGCTGGGGATGGTGGATGATTAGCTTCGTCTGGAAAAAGCACCGGTGATGGAGGGTAGGGTGGTGAAGGTGGGAGAAATGGAGTCAGTGTGGGGGAAATAGGAGAGTATAAATCCCAGTACGACCCCATTCTATCAGCTGTAGGTTCGCCTCTTCTTGAAGGGATGTGTGCTGGTATGCTTCCTCCCGCTAAATATATAGGGTGGAGGATGGAGGGCGTGTCTAAAAGAGGGTTTTTTTTCACAGTCAGAATGTCAAGCCAGCAGCGCGAACTTCGGAACAGGTTGGAAATTCGATCCCCAATTTCGAACATTTTTTGGCGCCATACACTAAAAGGTATCGCCAGCATGGTCCTAAAGATCCCACTTTCTATGTTGAAAACTTCTAAAACAAACAGGTCGGGGGAAAAAGCCTCGTAGCTTCGTCGCCTGCTCGCTCGGAGAGACCAGGCCCCGTTTGTGGTAGATTTTGTTTCCCAAACTGCGCTAAAAAGCATCTCTCCGTTGACGATTTCAACATCGGATGGAAAACCGATCAACTCTGACCGATCTGGTGTAGCCAATTCCCCACTTATTTCTGTATTGTAGGGGACCACCAACCTCAGCACTGCCCAGTCATTATAGGTAAGGTTGCATGTGTTGGAAAAGGGTGTGAGCTTCTCTTCTTGATCCAGTTGGTAAAGGTAGAGCTCACCGGATTCGTATTTGAAGATGTATCCCCACGCCCCAACCATGCCAGAATCCTCTAAAGACCATTCTTCATGCAGTGTTTCTAAGGGAGGGTGCTGAACCCGGCATAGATACAACGATGATTTCTTGGGAGCTTCGAGAGGGTGGATCGAAGCTTGGAATATGGAAATTGGCGTTTCGGATAATAAAGATGTTCCGCTCGGCAACGCACATCTTTTATTCACCTCCATCGCGTCCTCCATTTCTTCGGCCGGTCTAATGTCCGGGGAAGGCTTGGTCTCGGAGTCTTCCATAGTGTCCAGGGTTGTCGAAGTTGAAGCATCTTTCACAGACAGTGCGGTCTCAGAGTCTTCCATAGCGTCCAGGGTTGTCGAAGATGAAGCATCTTTCACCAAAGGTTCGATCCCGAATTCTCCCATCGCGTCCTCCATTTCTTTGCAGACGGAAAAACGGATCTCGTTTTTTACACCTGCTTCAAGCTGCTCAGGTAACACCGATTCTTTTTCCAATGCAGAGCGTAGTTCTCTGCTTTTAAGAATAGCTCTCGGAATTCTTGACATTGTCGGTAGGAAAGTAAGTGTTTTTTCTCTTGCTGAAAATACAGAATCTTTTCTCCCCAGCAATATTTAAAGAGGACATAATTCCGCCCTCCTATTTTCATTGGCTAGCTTAGGAAAGGGGGGTTGATGATGGAGTCATAGTTCTTGTGTATGTGTGTATGGGTTGTCTGATGGGATGGGTGGTGGTAGGGAAATTCTTGTGTGGGGACTGTCTTTGATTGGGAAGAAAACAATGTTTATATTCAAGAATTTGATTGATGAAGCAAAAATGTGATGGTGCGTGACTGCAGAAATTTACGGGTCATAAAAGGGTTATAAGAAAATCCTTTGTTCAGGTGCGGGTCATAGAGTTCATAGTTCTTGTGTATGTGTGTATGGGGGTGTCTGATGGGATGGGTGGTGGGAGGGAAATTTCCTTGTGTGGGGACTGTCTTTGATTGGGAAGAAAACAATGTTTATATTCAAGAATTTGATTGATGAAGCAAAAATGTGATGATGCGTGACTGTGCAGAAATTTACGGGTCATAAAAGGGTTATAAGAAATTCTTTTGATCAGGTGCGGGTCATAGAGTTCATAATTCAAAAGTCAAAAGGTCATGTCATATACGTCATATGTTATCAATCATTTTTGACATAAGGTCATAGGTCATCATCAATCATTTTTGACATAAGGTCATAGGTCATCATCAATCATTTTTGACATAAGGTGTGTCCTTATACTCTCTTCTGAGTATTTCTGCAGGTGATAGTACTCTGTCTGGTAGTGGAAGTCAGAGGTGTACTGAGTAAAAAGGAGTGGGTGATAGCACAGTACCCTGTGGTGCTCCTGTGTTGCTAGTTACTTCCTTAGTCTTTCCAGTTTTACAAACTGAGGTCTGTTATTTATGTAATCAATGATGCAGGCAATTGTCAATACCTCCACTTGAGTCTTTTGGAGTTTCTGAAAAAGTAAGTCAGGATGAATTACGTTAAATGCAATGAAGAAATACAAAACCAAGTTTGTCAGGGGGCTGTCTGCCTTGTCTAAATTATAGTGGGTTTGTTGAAGCAGGGTGTCTGATGGCATATTTAACTCCAGCTCAACGGCAATAAGCAAACTGCAGGGGGTCCATAGCTGCTTGTATTCTGGCTCAGATGGACCAATAAGAGTCTATATAAGATATTCATGATGTGGGTTGTCAGGGCAACAGATTTATAGCCATTGAAGACTTTTGGCCTCTTTAGTTGACTTCTAGAGACAGACAGGTGAAAAGGAACTTCCAATTTGTCTGAAAAACCCATAGAGGCAGTATATGGCCAAGGGTAGAGGTGGGAGATAAATTATTTGAGGTGTAACAGAGAAGCTTTGGGTCAAAGGAGGACAAGATGTCCATTGGTCTGAGGGCAAGAGAGCAGGAGGATTAGCTTTTTCCTGAACTGAACAATTTAAAAATGTATTCAGCTCATTGGCTTTGTCCAGACTTCTCTCTGTCTAATCATTCTTCTGCTAGAAGCCTGTGTTATTTATCACTGACCACAAATGTCTGATATTCTTCTGTCAATGCTTGCTTTCCAGCCTCTTACTGTATGCCTCCTTGCTTTCTCTTATCTTCACCTAAAGTTGCCTCTGTTAACTCTTTAAAAAATGACTGTCTCTTTTCCTGGAGGCTCTCGTTTTCTTGTTAAAAAGTTCTTTCAGATCATTTCTGATCTATGGATTCTTTTTTTGGAAGAATTTCATGGTTCTTGTGGGGATAGTATTGATAGTCCAAGGTGTACCCTGACTTTTGCCCCACTGCGGCACTGACAGATGAAAAAAAGGGAATGGGTGGGTGGATGGATGGATGGATGGATGGATGGATGGATGGATGGATGGATGGATGGATGGATGGATGGATGGATGGATGGATGGATGGATGGATGGATGGATGGATGGATGGATGGATGGATGGATGATGAGGATGGTTTTATTCACACAAAGGTTTATGTAGGCAGTCATTATACAAATGTCCTCTCCATGTAGCTGACACACCCATTTCAGTCTGTGGCCTCAAAAAATATCAGTGTTCTTTCATTTCTTATAACCATGTTCTTGCAGTTGTTTGTAATGCAAATTGTTTATTATAAAGTGGCTTCTATTCTGAGCAGAGAAAAACAAGATTGTGAACCGTTTTCCCAAGAGAAAATCTTACTTTAGAGATGGATAAGTCCTTGTCATTTGCATAAAACCATTCCATAGTTTTGTTATTTCTTGCATTAATTAAACTCTAACCTTGTTATAAATAATTCTTCAACTTGATATTTATTTATAAAATACACTTATCAACAATTCCTAACCTCATTGTTGCTCATTGTGGATCACCTTCTCAACTGATGAACTGTTTGCTACTTTTGCTTCCACAGGACAAGAAAGACAACTGGGCAGTTGTTAATGGACAGTGATAAAGCACCGTCAGCAGTGGAGTTAGTCGTAGTCATACGTGAGGCTTCTATCATTTTATTAGAATGAATGAGCTTTTAGTGAATTTGATTAATATTTTATCACATTTTTTATATCTAATCATAATTTTTTTTTATTTTGCAGGCCAAGTAATCATTCAGCAGCTCGTTGGCTAGACCCTGCGATGCTAGCTGACATTCTAGTCATCTTGTCTCTCCTTATCTGTCTCCTTGGGACCAGACCTAGGCAGCAATACTTAATCATATATATATATATATATATATATATATATATATATATATATATGTGCGCTTCAAATATTCCCAGCTGGAACAGTCTCAGAGGGGGGAAGATTATTATTAATAAAATAAGTTGCAGTGATTTTTGTTTAATGGCTTGTACTGTTATTTGCCAGAGTCTGCCTGAAAGTATTGCCCTCTAAACCAGTGTAAACTAGTGGCAGATGTGAGATCAGTGAAACAGCATTGACATTCATATATTATATCTGCAATATACTCTGTGCTTATTTGTGACTTGTGGTGGATAAATAATGTAATTATATAGATGTCTTTTTGTCAAATTCAGCTGAATGTGAGAAAAATTGAAAAACTTGTTTTAATATAACCTTGCACCTTGCTCTTTTCTCCTTTGGTTTTATTTTGAGGATTTTATACTACAGCTTAAAAGTCTTTATTCAGGCCAGCTTGGAATTTCATCACAAAATGAGGGTTTCTACTGGCTTTGATATAATTTTTAACATATTTTGTCTACTTTGTATATTGACTGTAAAATATCTGCATTGGATCTTTTGAAATTTGAGACATTGGCATCAGCATAAGATCTACTTATGATTTAGAAATTCACTTTTGCCTCTTAAATTAGTAGTTTGTCATTGAATTATGCCAAAGCACTCATGAGGCAATCCAATACATGACGAAGCTGTTAAAAGTTAGAGGGCTCTAATATGTTTGAAGCACAAAAAACATTGTGATGTAGAGGAATGCACTGTATATCAAGCAAATTATTTTATAAATCAAACTGTAACATTAACCAAAGCTGATTTTGTGTGTTTTTCTTTTATTGAGGGGGGGCTTTATGTTTAGTACATGCTCATACAGTCTACCGTGAGGAGGTTTGTCATAAGAGTACAAATGAAGGAAAACTTACAAGCTGAAAAGCAGGCCAGATTTACCTGAGAAGGAAGGCAATCACAGGTAAAACAGAAAGGGGGACACATGTGGACTGAAACGGAGAGACGCATATGGAAAGAATCCAGAAAAAGGTCTGAGAAGCAGAAGGATCTTAAGCTTCACTAGAGATGCAGGAGATATTAGGTGGATGTGTTCTCTTTTCATGTTAAAACTAGTGTGTAGGTATTTGGGCCTCAGTTAAAATCTGCCAAACAATCTGAAGAGTGTAAGTAGGCTGGATTTTATTGGAGTCTAAAGGCACAAATTCCAAAAAATGAGGCAGGGTGCTACAGTAACATTAGCCCGCCTTGCTTTAATCACGTCGGTCTCTATCCCACCAAAAGGGGTGATTCCAACAATCACGGACCCCCCTGCAGGTTAATCGGTTAGTGTTGCTGCTTTTGCAACTTTTTACCTATTCTGCAATAGACTGGGAAACTGTGGTAAGAAAAAACATTGTAAATGCAAATTTAGCTAATGCTACATTCAAAACCCAAGCCACTCTGTAAGTTCCAGATTTAACAAGGAAAAGAAGAAATAACTCAGAGGAACAGCTAAGCTGCAGGAAGCCTGATCCAACTGGGTGGGGCTGGTACTGACTGGCAGATCCTTCTTTCTTGGCTGAAATTCTGAGGTTAACCTCAGTTTATTGTGGGGATTTTCCTAAATATCCCCACAGATATTTAGAGGTGGGATATTAGAATAATTTTATATTACATAGAATTGGTTAAAAAGACAATGTGGAATCTCATTTTAAAAATGCCTACAAGAAGAAAACTTCCCCAGCATGTGTATATATTCAATTCTACTAAATTCATTATTGATTTCCTTGTACTTTTCTATTGTGCTGGATGTTGGTCAAACCAACGTGAATCATTAAACAAATCCTTGTCAGCATTAGTGATTTATTATTAACAAACAGAAGCATTTAGCAGCTTAAAAAACTGTACCCAGATGGTATGTTACTTGCCAATGAGACTCATTTGTATGCTGCACTTATAGACTTTATTTTCAAAATTAACAGACAGAAAATGGTATGGAGAGTTCACACAAAGGGAAGAAGTTAGGCCTCTAGGAGAGAGACCCCCGTACAGAGAAGAAGCTGATACATCTTGCATGTATACATCTTATCAGGCTTGCTGGACATGTTAGTGTCCCCTTGTTTAAACCAATACATTTCCTGGCCCATCTTAATTTGCCAGAGATCATATGGACCAAAAATAAAATTTTGGCACAAACTCAACCCTTTAGACTAGAATATGAATGCTGAGTTGCATCCCAAAAAAGGATCATAGGCAGAAGTTCAACTGAAAAAACTGATTGCTCTCCTACATCCACCTGCAATACAGCCAATCAGCTTTGAACCACAGCTTCACAAAAGCCAATCGGCATCCAAAAATCATCTTAAAAGGCCTCTGATACGCACCTGTCTGCTCCTGTGTGCAGGTGGTGGATGCGTTATCTTACTGCATTCAGATGACCTTGTTTCAACCCACCTCCAGCCCATCCTCCACAATCGTAGCTAAAGCTTCATCAGAGTGTCATTCCTCCCGGACTCTTACTGCATTCCCTGTCTCATCTCAACCGATCCGTCAGAAGACCACCATGTTGAGCCTGGTTCTGCCAGAGTAGTTTTTCCTGAGTGAAGCTCTAATATCAGCTCACACAGTCCACTGGATCTCCCCATAAATCTCAGCAGACCGTCTCGCTAACCAGCAGTCTACAGACTGACCAACTTCTCCACTCCACCACCAGTTTCAGGCCTGGGGGGGAAACAGCGTTATTTTTTGCTCCTGTTCATGCATATCTATCTAAATTAAACGCAATGTTTCCTACCAAGGTCTAAACGCCAAAGACAAAGTAATTGTATCAATACATTTTTTTCTAATTGTCTTTTCTCTTGGTGTGAGTTTTTCAGATTGAAATACCATAGCCATTGTGAAGCATGGAGGTGGAAACATCATGCTTTGGGTCTGTTTTTCTGCAAAGGGAACAAGATGGCTAACCCATGTTATCAGAAGAGTGAATCATGATATTTTGAGCCTAAACCTCTTTCATCAATGAAAGCACTAAAGTAGTAACTGGGCTGGGTCTTCCAGCATGACAATGATTCCAAACACACCACCTGAAAGAGTGGCTCTGTAAACAGCATTTCAAAGTCCTGGAATGACCTACATTAGCTAGTCTACAGACCCCAACCCCTTATGAAATTTGTGGAGGGAATTAAAAGTATATGTACCCCAATGAACAGCCCCAAGACATCACTGCTCTAAAGAGGAGCTGCGAGGAGATAAGGGCCAAAACACCAGCAACACGGTGTGCAAATCTGATGAAGACTTTAGAAAATGTGGTACTTCTGTCATATCAACAAACAGTTGAAGTGTACCCATAATGAAAATTACACCCTCCCATCTGTTTAAGCAGAAAAACTTGCACAATTGGTGGCTAACTAAATACTTATTTGTCCCACTGTAAAACACAAAGGGTATTTGCAATGAAAATATAAACAAAGTCTGTTATGAGAGCTCATCATACACTGATAAATTACTTAGGGCCAGATTTATCAAGATCCAATTTTGCGTGCAGTAATTTGGGCTCGCAAACTGGAATTTTGCACAAGGGGCTGAACCATGGTTTGCGGGTGATTTAACAAGAGCGATTGTGTAACTGGTGGCAGGTGCAAAACTGTTGGAGACACCCTATTTAAATAATGGTTTTGTGCGTTTTGTGGTTTGCGGCAAAGTAGTTTGTAGTTTGTGCAAACTAGTGCATTAAGAAATTTAAATCTTACAGTGACACCCCCACCCCCTCCAAAAAAAAAAAAAAATATATATATATATATAATAATAATAATAAATATATATATATATATATAAACTTTGGCAACCTTTATTCCCTAAGGTGGTATGTGGCTGAATTTCTACTTCACTGCAGTAAAAAAAAAACAAAACAAAAAAACAGGTGTTTTGTATTGGCCTGTAGAAAAATGCACATACCAAATGGCTCACAAGAAGTGACTGTGGATGAGATTACTGCGCGTACGCATCCCCGCAGCATTGGCATGTTGCTCCACAGGCGCAGGGGGGAGGTCGGGGTTCTCCGGTAGGGCGTCAGGGCGACATGGCATTTAGAACGTCGGACAGCACTTCTGAAAAACGAGATTGGGAGATCCCAGATGCAAAAAAATGCAATGTTGCAAGGAGTTTTGTGATATCTGGTATTGCGTGGGTCCTCCTTGTGGCTGGCCTCAAATCCATTCGGAGTTCCCCCAACAGCTCCAAAATGGCAATGCTGGATAAACGATATGTTTTGATGATCGTTTCCTCGTTCATTCCAAAAATATTCACAATGAGTGAAAAAAATGCGTTCTCTGTGTCTCCTTGCTTCATTTCCATGTCTCCTTCTTGCGACAATAACCGCTGCCATGTGTGCGCAATTAAATATAGAGTCAGATACCGTTAGCAAAATTGCTTTCAGGTTTGATAAATCACTTTGCGAGTGCTAAATCAATATATTTACATGTTCTCCTCCTACAAGATGCACTTTTGCGTGTAAACGCCCCATATTGCATATTCATTGCAGAAAAAGTACTAAATGGATAAGAGGCGCTATTTAGCACATTTTAAAGACCAAATCCTTTTAGCACGCTGTTGATAGATCAGTTTGTACATTTTTTAGCATGCGCAGTGAAATAGCTCACATTTTTATACACGCAAAACAACAGAGGTTGTAAAGGGAGTGTGGTAGTTTGGAATATTGTATCAATTGCACTGATTTATTTAATAATATTCTCTAAATATTTTAGCATTAAATTACACAACCATGTTTATTTTGTCAAGAAATTTTTCTTTCTTTATGTCTCTGCAGCACAGGGTCTGGTATGGTGGCCCTGAAGTGCAAACCACATCAACAAATCCTTAAACACAACTACAAATTTAAAAACACAAAAACATATTCAAAAAACCCTAACATATCAAAAAATGCAACAATACATTCAAAAACACAATGACATTAACTTGAAAAAAAATATGTGTAAAAAAAAACCACAGCAGCATAACATAACAAAACTGTTCAAACTTTGAATGAACAAGCATAAGCAGAATTACCTCCGGTTTAAAACGGTGCCTTAGGTCTCAAGTTTCCTATAATATCTTCCTTCTCCAGTACATTAATGTCATTGTGATTCTGAAAATGCTGTCGCTATGTAACTTTAATTTACTTTTGTCAAGTAAAAATTTTTTTTTATATATATATATATATGTTGGGGGTCTTGTATATGTTGTTGTGGTTCTAAATATATTGTTGCCCTTTTTTTGTTTGCTTCAAGTTAATGCCATTGTGTATTTTAATGTGTTGTGTTTTTGAATTTGTAGTTGTGATTAAAGATTTGTTGATGTGGTTTGCATTTCAGGGCTATGGTACCTCACAGATTTGAAACAACTCAGGTACTTACAGAAAGTAGAAGGATGAACTTCCTCCACTAATGATACTGTTATCATATACAGTTCTTCAATTCAAATCTTTGTCAAACCACTAAAGAGAAGAGCAGAATTTTAAAGACAGATTTGTAGAGTTCAATTATACCTGGTATTTCTATTATTTTACGAATAATTTAGCCCAATTTACACAGAACCAGCAACTTAGGTGTATTGGTATAAGTATAAATAAAGATGCATTATGAAGACCAGGAATACAGCATTTTGCTAGTCAGAAAGGGAACAAAAACATAAATTTAGATGGGCAAACTGAAAGAGTAGTATGTCCTGATATTTGCACCTATAAAGACAGAAAATTGTGTTTTTGCAAAGTAATTAACTAGACCAGTTAAATCAAAACAATACTTCTTATGTATTATTTTGAAATAA